GGGCGCGGTGGGCGCGGGCGAGTACCGCGGCGGCCGAGTGTCCCTGCTCGGCGCCGGCGCGGCCTACCTCCCCCCGCCCGCGCCCGCAGCGCACCACCCGCCCCCCGCTGACCCTCCGCCTTTCAAGAAAATCAGGCTCACAGCTGAACGGACACCGCTACCACATCACCAGCCGCTTAGGGTTGATACTAGGGTCAGTATCTTTTATAATCCATGATCCGTAGGTTGGGTACCTATTTGGTCAATGACCCTGATGATTAGCCCAAACGACCTACCCAAGTTTGGAGTGTGGACTGTTAGCTAAGCACTACTAGTTATGATGAATGATACCAGTTCCACTAAAAAGATTTATTACAGTTAACTTTAGTATACAGTGGACCCAAATATAACTGCTATCACCATATTTTTCGCATTTAAGAAACCGTCATCACCTGATGTGATGATGAAGGAAGCAATAACAAGAAACTCTGTGTCTATGTATTGGCAAATTCTCTGATAAGACTTTAATTAGAGAAGAAGGAATAATTTCATATTGTTTTCTAATATTACACTACGATTCTTCTTTTGTCCAGTTATCACAAATCTGCACGGGGATGGAGATCCTTTATTGACCTTTAGACCATGTATCTTTATCATGACACAATATTAACAATTTGTCATATACATTCCAGGAGCCGGTGAACCAGTATAGCACAGTAGAAGTACTATCTCCGAATCCACCATCAGATACCACGATGGAGGACCAGAGCTTCAGAACCACTAAGGATGACTTATTACAACAAATATCCAAGGTAATGCAGCAAAAACTATTTTAAAGTGCTTGAAAAAGAATGAACCGTAAATAAACGGTACTCGAATGCTTTAGGCCGGTATTAATTGAGATTTCAAAGAGAAATGATCGGTTAGATTGAACAGAATAGAATATAAATTCTAATGAAAAAGAAGGAGCAAGATTCGCTTCCTTGAAGTATAGACTAAGAAAGCGAATCTTGTTTTTTGAATGATAGATTTCGTTGCCTGAATCTGATACAAATGGTTTTGCTATATTGTAGATATGAATATGAAAAACACAATGAATAATATGTACAATCATTAATCAATTTCATCATCATCATCGTGGCCACTGCTGACCAAAGGCCTCTTCTCGCACGGAGAAGGTTCGAACATTAGCCACCACGCTTGCTCAACGCGGGTTGACGATTTCTAACTTATAATTAGAAATTATAAGCCCACCTTGCCTTACGATGTTTTCTTTCACCGTTTCTCAGTGGTGTCTGAATAACCTTAGAAAGTACATATAACTTGGAAGAAGTCACATAAGTAGTTTCGAACCCGCACTCTCGTGCATGAGAAGCGGGCGTCTTAAACATCTAGGCCGCAATGACAATTATAAATAATTTACAATAGTAAGTCAAGTCTGCATCCAAATAAACTTATTTTTACTGACTTCATTATCTTTATACAGTAACTGACGAATCTCTATGTCTAATTCACAGGTGGACAGAGAAATGGCGTTATCAGAGTCAACATTATCAAAATTAAAGAAGAAACAAGAAGAATTAGAACAGACAGCCTCGAAGCCAGCACGGGCAGAGGAACCAGAAGAAACTGTACCACGACACAGAAGTTTAGCACAATGCGTATACGCAGAAAATAGGAAAAAGGTTCTTATCAATTTATTTACACACCTTGTATAAAGTTTTCATAATAACCCCCCATGGAGTTTGACATCCTTCGATCAACAATAACAACTAGATAAAGGGTTACGTACAAAATCAAGCTCCAGTTCTGTCCGTGTGAATAATAATAGTAAAAAAATAACAAACAGAGAAAAATGTTTTAAAATAGTTTTAAGTTCAACCTAATAACAACCATGGCACCTAATTATAAAGTCATAAATCGTCAAAATATTATCTAATACTTACGACCATTCGTCACATAAGACAAGAAAAGTATTTTCTTACTCCTGTCATGTAGAAATTAAAAGACATAAGTTATACAATATCTAGTTTGAATTCAACCTTAAGGTCGAACAAATAAAGATAATTTTTCCATTATTGTCTTGCGATCTATATCGTTTTGTTTTGTTTCGTTTTGCTTCTTCAAATTTCGAATTTCGCTACAGGAGGTATGTATGGAGTCGCGTTGGACACTAAAATAATTTTATAATATGAAAATTAACATTTCGGGATCTTAGTATACATCACTAATTTTTATTAGCGGTACGTTTTTGTGTATGATATGTTTATTTACTTTATCGTTAAAAGTCTAAGTCTAAGTCAAAATTATTTATTTCAGTTATACCAGGAAGGCACTTTTGAACAACAACAATATAAATTTAAAAGTGAAGCTATTTGCTCATTCCAAGGTGTAGATTCCTATGGAGAAGAACGAGCAAGAAACGATACAATTTCTTATTTTTTCAATACAAATCGACTCCATGCATCCACTGTTCTGTTTATACAAATGTTGGCGAGACTTGGCCAAGGAATCGCCAACACACGCACAAACATTGGTGGCGTTGGTTTATAATTGATAATTTTGTCTAATTTGATATTATTTACTAGTTTAAAAGCTTAAAATATAACTTATACTTTATGTACTTATCAAAAGTAAGACACTCCGGCCGTTATACTGCTTTTTCGGTTGTTATTTTTGCAACTTGCAATTACTCGTGAGACGTGAGTACGTTGGCCGTGTTTGGAGCATACTAAACAAAATAAGAGCTCACTTCTCAAGTGAGCTCTTATTTGTCGAGACGATTTTCTTGCGCCGACCCGATATCTAGTTGTTATTGTTGATCGAAGTTGACATCAGAAATGACCCCCCATTCGTGAAACTAACAAAAGTAACAAATTCGTCGCTAGATTGAGTACTACGGATGCTTTAGCTGAATTCTTTTACTTTTTGAGAGGAGATACAAAAATAATAAGTTCATAAGGTTATAGTACGGATCCCGTTTGTAGTTAATAATTACACTTGTTAGCCAATAGAAAATTTGTCAAAAGCATAGCTGTATGGTCCCTACATCGAATTTCTCCAGTTGGATTCCTAATTTAAATCCTATAGAACTTCACTCTCAGCTGTAGATGACCCACTTCCAATATGAATCTTTATTAATTCAGATCAAATTTCATTTGAACCTATTCAATACGGCTTTACGTCAAAGTTTTACAAACTTCCACCGTACTACCGTCTATCTAATTTTGTACATAATAATCAAGTGTAAACAGTCGTCTACACAAATTACTTGCTTTCTTATGCAAAAAGTAAAAGTAAAAGAACAATCCGTAGAACTATAATCGAAATATAACTCACTACTAAATCTGTTGTAAATAGCTGTTCCCATTCCATGCTCATATCGGGATGTAAAAACTACATAGTGTATCAGTTTCAGCAGAATAACATACTTTATAGTATATAGAATAAGGTATATTTTACATATTTTCTGAAGACTGAGCTAGCCACAACCAGAATTCGAAAGTATTTTGAAGCAACATACATTAAACTAGATAAAGTATGAAATAAATAATTGAAGTGATATTATTATGAAAAATGTTAGTATTTCCATAGAAATGATGACCTTAGGATTATTTATAGTAATGATTAGAAGTCTAAATAGCCTAACTAACGACATATAAAATCCACTTGGACGTCCATAAGACCTATTGATTCTTAACTTTCAAAACATCAGGTCAAAGTTTGAGAATACATAGGGGAAAAACATACATACCTACATTGATTTTTGTTTATGTAGATACTACAAGTATTTACTTAACATTTTTTATGATAGTAGGTAACAGAGGCGAATTAACATAGAAAAGAAAACGCCCTAGGAATGCATCTCATACGCGCCCCTATTTTTTTTGGCGCCGCTGCATCCATGGGCAGTTAACCGCGCTCGGCTCCCAGCGCCCCTGTATACCCAGGCGCCCTAGGCACTTGCCTAGTTTGCCTTAGGGATACGACTCTGGTAGCTAATACTAGGATGATAGGAGATGACCAATTTAGTAGTGTTTTATCTATCTGTTTTAAAAATGTTCTAAATCATTTGTGAATGTATTTTTGCCCGTTTTCATATAGATTTGGGCGGGATATCGTCTGATACATTGTATGTTTTTTTTCTTCCCAGATCAGCATGGATAATAAGCGGCAAATGGTATTTATAATTTGTTTTATAAACTATTATAAGTACTAAGAGTTATTCGTTTATGTAGAAAATACATTTTCATTTTTGTAGACAATGTTTTAATTCATATAAGTACCTATGTAGTTTATTTCAGTGTTAGATATCGTATAATAAGTTAATATATTTGGCATGCGGTTTAAATGGATTTTTATGTATAAGTATACTATTTATTTGTCTATATGTATAATAGTACTCATCTAATTTAACCATAGATTATATATGTAAGTATATAGATTATATCTCTGCAGAAATATCTGTGGTCGCTACAATCCTCTTTTTGGTTTAAAAAATTGTTGTTAACGTGATTTTTTATTTGCATGGGTTAGAGATATCAACTTTGTCAATGTTTATATATACATAGTTGACAAAATATCCACGTTCCTCCGTATTATCCATTAGTTTAAGCAGCTTTTAAAATGTAGATTTAATTTATAATTATTTAGATTACGTGTTTTTTATTACATTATGGTATAATCACGTTAACACCATTTTTTTTTGTAAGGAAATAAGTGAATTTCACAAATATTTCCGCAGAGTTATATTTTATTTTCATTTTAAATGTATTGTAGTTGTTTTTGTATTATTTTGTGTATGCGGAATTAAAGGGTCAAATAATTTAAAGGCTTGTTTCAAAAGTATTTCTAATTGAATATAATAGTTACAGTTTTGAAGCAACCTAACTAGAATAAATTGTAAAACTACAAAGCTTTCAAAGCACTTTGTGATAACTGTTGTTGTATATTGAATCACCAACATAATACACATTTATTCACTTAGAATCTCGTAAACAATCTTTTTAAATCGATTTTAGTAATTTTATAGACTAGAATATTCTTTGTTTACCTCATATAACAAAAATTAACCATTATGATCTTCCAAACACCCTTTAATTCGGCCATCTTGAATTAAATGTCAAAATGGACGTCAGTTTTTGAATAATATACGTTAATTTGTATCAGCAGGCTTCATCAGCTCACGCGGTGCTGTCTCACTTGGGTCCACCCGTCCTATACCCACTGTACAACCAGCCCCAAGACACAGAAATATACCATGAAAACATCAGACGACATCGAACGTTTAGAAAGCGACTAGCTGAACATATTAGGAAACTAAAACTAGAAGCTGAAAAGGTAATTATTTTTGAAGCATTTAAAGTAGTTTATATTTATTTTTTCCAGCGATTCCACCATCGTGGTCAATTTCTAACAGGTTGTAGTGTCGACTCTTATCCAAGAAGAGGATTCATTGATACAAATGATTCTTTTTATATCTGAGAGTCGTACACTTTCGGATACAATCAAGTTATACCATTTGTCCCAAGAGATTACAACATGGGCGTATAAAACAAATCCACCAAAAAGTTATGAGAATAACCTTCGTGCTACAAAAGGGCAAACCGCAAATATATAGAAAGAAACTTCATTGCAAAAGTTAGAGAATAGCACCCATACTAAAAACAGGGTAGACCTAAAGTATTTTATATGTTTAACACCATGTGGGATACCTTCCAATGGGATTCCTTCAATAGTTTTCTATTGGCACTCAAAAGTTCCAATAGACTATTATGACCTATCTTGCGATTATATACACTTTAAACATATCAAAAAGATCAATCAAATGCCGTGAGTTTCACACCAATATCGTTTTCTATTACAGCGTGAAGATGCATTAGCGGAGGCGTACAGCAGAAGAGCAGCAGACTGGTTGAGACGAGTGGAGAGGATAGAGCAGGGACAGAAGAGGAAAGCCAAGGACGCGAGGAACAGAGAGTTCTTTGAGAAGGTCTGTCGTATATTTACATTTACTTACTTCTTGGTTTTTGGAGGAAGTATAATTCCCATTTATATACAATTGAGTGCCTCATTGGCCGAACGGCCAATGCCACTGACGGGCAAGGGGTCTCGGGTTAGATTCCCGGGTCGGGCAAAGCATTATTGCATTTAAAAAAAACCTCAATAGTAGAACGGAGTCTGGAATTGTTCCCGGTATATGGCAATAGACTCACCCCTTATTACATGGGACTCATAACATAAATAGTGAAAAGTGGGTGTTACATAGCACAGTGGCATTAAGTGTCGCAATGTGCACCTCCGCTAACCCCTTCGGGGATAAAAGGCGTATTGTTATGTTATGTCTAATTTCCAGAAATACTGGGTCGAATGATTGAAAAAATCCATTTACTGTTATAAAATATCACGCTAAGACGATCAATAGAAGATGCGGCATCAGCATATGAAATCGCACAACAGTAGCTTTTTTTTAAACGTTGCCCCACATTTCGATTATCTCCTGTGTCGTGGGTGCGTTTACAAACATACAATTTCACATACACATGACACCCAGACCCGGAACAACAATTTGTGGATCACACGGAGTGTTGTTCCGTGCGGGAATCGAACCCGCGACACGTTGCACGGCAACCGGTTGCCCAGCCACCTCACCAACCGTGCAGTCGAACTATTAATCGTGCAGTATTGCATTGGGGCAGTTCCGTGTCTGGCAATAATTTTAAGTTCAAAGTATCATGACGTTTAGTTATGTGTAACGAGTTATCTCAATATCTTTTCAACCAAAACTTTAAAGCCTAAGATACTTTCAAACTCCTTATATACAATTTAGGTAGCCAACTATTCTAACCAGACAATCTCTCCACAGGTATTCCCCGAATTAAGGAAGCAGAGAGAAGAAAGAGAAAGGTTCAACAGGTTAGGAGCTCGGGTGAAGTCTGAAGCGGAACTGGAGGAGATCGCGGACGGATTGCACGAGCAGGAACATGAAGATAAGAAGATGAGGTCTCTGACCGTGGTGCCGCCACTACTGAGGGACCCCAGCGACACCACGCCTATTTATATTGACACTAACCGTTAGTATTTACATGTTTGGATATGGTTTTTGGTATTCTAGGGATGTTGTGACTTAGTTCCGGTCATGTGCTGGATAGTTACATAAAAATATATAGTTGAATTGAGAACCTACTCCTTATTTTTGAAGTCGGTTGATGAAACTATTTTTGATGATGAATGAAAGAAGAATTCGCCATGAAATTCTCTTTTTGACAAAGTAGTCCGAAATGGCAAATTGTGAAATGTGGAGTACTTCTAAAAAGAATTGCACGAAACTCCAAAACTAATTAATAATTATTAAAATATGGCAATCCTTAAGATTTTATCTTACCCTCCTCTTTTTTATGGAGTCGGTTGATAAACCATTTTTCATGATGAATGAAAGAAGACGTTGCCATAAATCACCTTTTTTGACGAAATAATCCGAAATGGCAAATTGTGAAATGTAGAGTAGGTACTTCTAAAAACAATTGCACTGAAGTCTAAAAATATTTTATAATTATTGAATGGTGTAGTTTACTTTAGAATGGCCAAAAGCCACTAGGCGATCGTTAGGATTTCATCCAACCCTCCAACCTTAACTAATCAATGATCCAACCCTTATTGACTACATAAAAACCAGTAAACCATATATATTTTAGCCCCAAAATTGGTGGTCTTGGATATACTAACGTAATTCTTCTTCACAGGACGATGTATGGACATGGAGGCGGAACACAAAGAGTTGCAGCTTCGAAACGTTTGGTCGCAAGCAGAAAGGGAGCTCTTTCGTGAGAAGTATCTACAGCATCCGAAGAACTTCGGCCAGATAGCGTCGTTTCTACCGAGGAAGAGCGTCAGGGATTGTGTCAGGTATATAATGCGATATTTCTAGTTTATTCTTTTGATACGATGACTTTAAAAGATAACTGAACAGTTGGTGCAACTTTGATTCCCGCACGGAGCAACTCTTTGTGTCTGAGTGTCATGTGTAAGTGAACTTGTATGTTTGTAAACGCACCCACGACACAGGAGAAAATCCTAGTGTACGTTTAAAAAAATGGCTAGAATAGGTATTTACCTCATTGGCAAAAGAGTTGCAAGTGTAATAGTCCAGTGCCTCATGCACTCGAGCTCGATCTCCAGGTCGGGTTCAACCCCCATTACATAGCATAAACATCAGTCATAGGCTTACGTACCTTGGGTTAAATACCCTTTTTAATCACTTGATATAAATCCCCCTAAACATCGGATATAAGCATATAAGGTCTACAATGGTGTGAGTGACTGGCGACCGCTTTGGATTGATCAGTTAAATAAAGTGCAATTATAGGCTGATGCGTCTCAGGAGCACATGTGCCTTTAGCCAAACGCCACTTTAGCGCTTGTCTACCGAGAGAGTAGAAAACTAAATGTATGTTGATGACACTGACAAGTCAAAATTTACGTTAATATAGTTTTCTTCCTACAAGTAGACAAGCGCTAAATGGCATTTAGCTACAGCTGCTGATTTGTCTGGTTTATTCTTAGATCCCTTAGAACACAAATAGTAAAAAATTGCTTTTATAAACACCTCTGTCCTCTATATTATAAAATTATAATATTATGTAAATGTCGAAGTTACCTAGGAATAATCCAGCAGTTACTTCAGGTCCCTGTGATACACCCGATACGACGAACTTCATTGTTTCGTTTCTTTTCGGTGGGCGCTACAGTAGGTTAAAAGTCACAAGAGCTTTGGTGTCAGAAAACTATACCCCCAACAAATTACATCTAGCTTGATTTGACCTTCTGATATGATGATAACGATGACCATGATAAATCCTGTAATACAACCAAATCCTTACTAATATTATAAATCGGAAAGTGAGTTTGTTTGTTTGTTCTGCTTTCACGCCGTAACTGCTAAGATTAGATTAAGACTAAGATTTAGAAGTCCAGACTAAATAATAAGGTACTTTTTATCCCGGAAAAAATTGATATTTCCGAGGGAAAACAAAAGTATTGGTATAGATGGCGCTGTGTGTATTGGTATATGTCACATAGGCTACTTTTTATCTTTCTGTGATGCGAGCGAAGCCGCGGGTAAAAGCTAGTTACTAATAAAAACATCTTCAACAGATTCTACTACCTATCGAAGAAGGCGGAGAATTACAAACAGTTACTAAGGAAGCCGAGACAGCGGCGGTCGGCGAGGAATCCCCCGCGGGCGCAGCCAGAGCCTGAACTACCGGCCGGAGTCACCACCAGGCTACAGCGGAGTCAGGGTTAGTTCGGCATCAGGTTATTATGATCAAGATAGGTGCATTTATCAGGTACACATTTGCTAGAGTTGAAAACTATAAGTAAAGCTTTTTTAAATTATTATCTTAAACTGACTGCCTCGTTGCCGAGTTGTCGCAAGTGCGACTGCCGGGCAAGGGGTCTCGAGTACGATTCCCGTATCGGGCAAAGTAACACTGGGTTTTAAACAAAATCTCAGTAAGTAGTAGTACGGACTCTGGATTTGTGCTCGGTATATGGCAATAGGCTTACCTAAATAATCTGAAAAGTGGGTGCTACGTCGTACAGCGGTATTAAGTGCCGTAATGTGCACCCTATCCCTTCGGGGCTAAATTTAAATTGCGATCCATATATAGCCATAGGCCACTATCATGGATTTTTGACTAATAAATAATCGTATCATTATATTTTGAGTCAGACTTTAGGAAGTTTAAAAAGAAGTATTATTTTTTTTCTAAAACAAGTCCTTTATCCAATTATCCACAAGACCACAGTGTTGCTAAGCCAGGTAGCTTCACCCATCTAATTGATGGATATTTAATTTGTAATGTTCAAAAGTGCCCTTATTAAAGTGCCCTTTATCTGTTGAAACACCGGCTCCCGGTACAAAACACATTATACCCGCAACTTTCAACAGACAAGTACTTACCTTACTTTAATAATAATTACGGAAACACATGATCACAAAAAGTATGACCATTTCAAAGCAAAGAAATAGTATCTATTAGTATACTTTACCCTAAATAAACACATAAAATAGATTACACAGTCAAATAAAAACCTCTTATATTTCAAAATTTTTCATTTAATTGTACCTGATGAATGCACCTGGCAATCGCTTTACTGCGAATTATAGTGCTATCGATTGCTTGGCTTTCAATGTCCCCAACTGCTGTGATCTTGGGTAGGATGCTCACCAGGCAAATGGCATGTCCTACATTTGTTCCTGGTTGAAAGTTTTGCATGTAAAATCTGTACCCCAAGATACCAGTGAAATCCCCCATAAATATTGTCGTATTATTTAAGTATCTATGCACGTAGTGAATTTAGTATTTTTTAAATAAATTCTACGTGTTTTTGATTAGTTAATTAACATTAATTTTTGTTGCTTCTTATTGGTTTTGATTGCTTTTTCTGAACACAGAACTTGTGTTACCTGCAAAGAGAAAATTTTAATGCAGGTTGTTTTAAAGATTAATAATGTAACGCTTTATTCCTCACTTTGGATAAAATCATTATCCAAATGTCAATATTAATGTGGAGATTTCATTTTGTAAAAGATTGAATGATTAAATTAAATGAAATTAAGTTATCAATTAATAACATTGACATTACACCCCCCAATAACAATCAAAAACACGACCCAAACATATAACTCTACAAACAATTAACGACGCTAGCGCCTCTGGTAGTAAATTCCAGAACTATTATTATACTAACAAAAACTTAACTTTAGTTTTAATGGCATAAAGTGTGGGAATGGTATATTAATACGAACGTAAAACTATTTAGCCGTCTCCCTAGGAACGACTGCGAGGACGGAGAACAAGGAGCAGAGTATGGAAGAAAGTATGCCGCAGGTCACTGACCCTGTCACCTGCATACCTATACCTACTGCAGCTCCTGCGCAGCCGCCTAGGTGAGTAACCATTTATTAAGAAGTTTTATGAAGTTACCCTTGAAAATGAGTACTGTATTTTGTTTTGTATTTTTCGTGGATTAGTCCAACAGGTTGATTATGTGATCTATAAGTGTATTTTTTGTTTAGCTCTCAGGTAGCTTTTCTCTTTCTTTTCTCTAGGAGCTTTTCTCAGGATAAATATCATAATTGATTTAACTAAACTTTACAAGTTACTCACGTAAATATACTGAGAAAAGCTCGACTAGTTTCCGAGTCACAGAGGGACTCTACCTCATGGCCAGCGCGCGCGGTCGCGGCCATTTCGCGGAGCGTAGGCTGCATTTTGAAACTAATAGAGCTTTTTTCAGTATATCTACGTGAGAAAATAGTATTTTTTAGAAATTCAGTATGTTTTACGACAGTTTTTATAAAAACATAATTTCTATGTTAATAAGTTAATGTCAAAATCTTCATTGTAATCTTGGGTTGCGATACGGAGCATGGTCTCTTATTTAAAATAATATAAATTAGGCTATAATATTCTCCTTCTGTTAATAAGTACTACAAAATACAAATCAATCACTAACCTTAAAACTCTATTATAAAAACAGCTAAACCTATAAAATATCTTGTTGATATTTCAAACTATTGCTAACATATTTGTAAAACTCATACATAGTACGCAATTGTCTATTTATCGCCCTACAATAATAGTTGAACAAGGAAGATGACTATCACTATAAATGTTAAAATATCAGTATTTACTATTATCATAGGGAAATGTACTGAATGGTGACGTGTTTCAAATGTTTCTGAGAACACATTAAACTCTTCGACGTTTAGTAAATAACAGAATGATATGCCAACAAGTACTGTTTAATGTAATTCTCTTTGAAATACTTATATTCTAGGAATTTGGCAGGCAATTTGAACTAAATTGGCCTGATTGAGATTGGTATAACTGTTATAAATAGATGATCAGCCAAATGATATAGCTATAAAGTCAATCCATCCTGTTGAAAAATACAAAGGCGTCATTATAAATTAAAACTTTTATCTAAAAATGATGTTTCTACGAAGACGTCATATTTTTACCTTATTTAGCATAGGTGTACCTTATTTAGTAAGGTATTTGTTTGATTACGAAGTACGAATACTTCTTGATTGAAGAATAATTCGCAATCAAATTAAGAACAACTATTCCACCCTAGCAACACATAACCAATCAAATTACAGCAAATACCGCACCACATACAAAAGCCCGCGAAAGCCGCCATCTTTAAAATAAAAACGAATACAAAAAAAAAGAACGTAGAACAAACAGCCAGCCATCATAATTTTTCCTTCAATATCTGTGGTATAGAAATTCTGTACGATTCCGTTGGAGTCGGGTCGGGCTTTTTAATTACATCGTGTCAACATTGAGCGGTTCCCGGCCAATGAATTATTCACCGATAGCTCGGGAGAGACGGCCCAGGGTTTTTTTTGCACTCCTTGGTTAAGGCTTTTTTATTCCTTGTTTGTACTTGTAATGTGCTCTTCACGAGATGAGGAGTTAACCGCTCTGTGATCCATTGTCTTGAGGTGTTTGCGATTTGATGTAGGTAGCTAGTTTTTGGTGTTTCAGTCTGATCTGTTTTTGAAATAGAATAGCAGTAGATACAGTCTTAGGTATATTTCTTGAAAGTATTATTAGTTTATGAATCCAAAATCTGCAAAATTCAAGTAAGTACTACATATAGGCAACTTCTATCACAATATTATAAAAAGTTCTTACATATTCGAAAGAAAAAAACGTTACTCATGTTCTTTTTACATTTGAACACGTTTTTTGCGATAGTAAACATAGTAACATTAAAAATTCAATTTCTCCAAGTTACTTAATTCCCAAATCTAATTTTCATAAAACGATTCAAAAATTTTTCCCAAAAAGACGTATTGTTTAAACAAAGGTTCGCTCGCGATCCTCTACTCTACTCAGAGTACAGGGCCGGAGTTAGGTATTGGAATAAGACAGAATAGCATATATTTTTATTTTAGTTTTTTAATAGACTTAATATATCGGCCTATTGACGACTTTTGTGATTTGCCGTAAAATATGTTTATTGTGCATATGCAATCTTACATTCAAAATACAAAAGTTGTAACAAGACCTTCCCTGTTCCCAAAGTAAAGCGGATTAAGAAAATCCGACAGAGATTCGATGGATCGAGCCTATTTAACGAAAACTTCGGAACTCATTCATTATAATTTACAATATTCCCTCTGATTCTCTCGGGTAGTCCGTCCCTGTGGACATATGTTTGCACGACCACTCACTTTTATGAGCTTCAGACAATGAGAATAAGCCAATTTTTCATCGACCAGATTAATCGTTTAAAATTCATGTATTTTTATTTCAATCGAGCCGAGGGAAGAGATTTATTTTATTGCTTCTACGAACTTCGGAAGCTGGAGTTAGTTTTAAAGTGACTTTATTAGTAGTTTCCCAGTCTTTTATGGCAGTTTGTGTAGCCTTTTATCTCTGCTTAAGTATTCAACGAGAAGTTGGTCTTTGAGAAATGGGCTGCGAAATACATTTAAACACGAAAGTTATTGAATGTTTTTAATTTGGCACATTGTTGGGAGATTTTAAGCGAGCGAAAGTTCAGGAATATTCCATTTTGAAAACATGTTTAGGTTAATTTATAATTCTGATCTCATACTCAATCGAACGAGAAAGTAAAGGGGAGTTTCGTAGAAATAATAAAGGAGAAATATGTAATAATAATGGGTGTATGTTGTGAGTGTGTTGACAATCACTTCGGTGATTATTTGCACAAGACTCCCGCGGGAATCATGGCGGCTTCAATCAGCATACGCGACGCGATCGCGCGACTCGATTATCGATAAACTTTTTAAGTAGGTGATTGGTGAATTATGATTTTTTTGTATTACGTCTTGCTTGGTCTTGTTGAAGATTGGACTTCAGAAAAATTGCCGATGCATGAAAGGAATAAGTACATACTAATAAATATCTGGGTTAAGTATCGTTTAGATAGGTTTAGACGAAATTTTAGGTTAGTCAATACATTTTATCAAACTATACACACACTAATTCGTATCTAACAAGCTTACAGTTTCCACTCGATACTCGTAATCGTAACACTCGTTTTATAAATCGCCGGAATATCGATGAACAGACATCACTACCGCCACCGTTTCTCCCGACACGGTTTGTTTAGATTTTTACGCAAACACAGGGCCGACCCATCTTTCTAATTGCCTTAATTAAAAGCATCTACCAATCGAGAAAGCTAAATACAAGGGAAGAGGGGCTATGAAAAAAATAAGACAGTTTCGACTATCGTTTGATTTTGTCATATTTACACATTGATGAGATGGAAGCTTCAATTTATGAAATACTAAGCAAACATATAAGGCTTTCTCGTTTATAAGTGTACTTTTATGTAATCTTCTATCATTTTAGAAAAGGCTAGGTTTATGCGAAGCGATATAGAACTACGCATTAATGGTTTCCATTACCATAACACCGCAACCGTTACAGAACAAAGTTTGCGCGGCACAAATCATTCCACTGTTAACTATTGGATATTTTTTGTGCAAACGCAAAGCACACGTCATAAAAATTTAAACAAATATTGAATAAAAACGTTTGACATGAAAAATGGTCGCGTATCCGCACTAGTATTCGTAAAGGGATGAGATTAATTTGATTGTTAGGTTTACCGACGTCGAGCTGTTGTTTGTCCAACGGGGTGCTTCGCCCGCGGATAATTACCACCCCGCCGACTATTAATTGGGCAAAATTTAATGATGTTCAAATACCGACGAACCGTGTTAGTTGGTGTCGGCGCGGCCATGTTTTAACGGCTACAGATTTTTGTTTAGGTTTTAAAATTTTACTGTGGAACTATGAACGGTGGCGCCTTTTTTGATCTTTTGAAGCGGTTTTATCCGGTTTTTTGGTGTTGACTGTTGACGTTTGAATTTTTATAGTGTATTTTTAGGTGTTTTATGTTCTAACAACGCTATGAACATGTTATTTTTTATAATTTTCTATAATGCTGATTTCGACCCTTCATTGCGTAAATCAAGTCTTCTCAGTGCCTTTAGCGCTTATCTACAGAGAGAGAGTAGTAATAAAAATGTATGGGGATGACACTGACAAGTGTCAAAATTTACGAAATGTATAATATCTCGCTCACAACATGAAGTCTTCTATTCCTTGTCACAGAACATGTTCAATAACTAACTAAAGTAACTCGCTCTCATACAGTACACCACAACAATAATCCTCCATCGGCGAGCGATTAATTGAATTCTTCATTGACTATGGTCACAAATACGCCCAACCTCCCCGTGCCGCGGGGTAACCGCTGGTAATTAAAAGAGAGGCGAATTGAGCTAATTATGTTTGCCATAACTCCCCGATGCACCCCACCCGGCCTACACCACGTTCTGATTGTGTTTTGCTTTTATAATTACTTGGTATTTTTAATTAATGATGTTAATATGAGATTAAAGAGGTGGACTAGTAAAGCAAGGGATCTGAATATGAACAAAGTATAGTCGATTTTTTTTAGTAATTCTACGGTGTTTGGATTGTGTTGGTAATCGTAAGGCGCGGTGGCGCAGTTGGTAGCGCATGAGCGACACGCTCATGGTCGCAGGTTCAAATCCTGCCCGCGTTGATTACTTCCTCGAAATATCTTTCTGATTAGGTAATACTTACTCAAAAATTGGTTTGTTTGGTATTCAGTTGTTTATGCGTCATGAAGTCATCGTAGGTCACTTATTATTTTTCTACTAACTCTAGCATAAGAAGAGTCGTAAGAGTACGTATACTAATTTTAAATATATTTTTAGAGATTTATAGCATCTAAATATCGTTATTTTCTACAGGTCGGAGTTAACAAGAACGCCGCCTTTACCGCCGTCCCCGCCACCGGCATCGTCAGCACCGACGCCGGTGACGTCAACTCCCACGCCGCTCTCGGTGGCCGGGAGTCCGGCAGCCGCGCCGACGCCGCCAGCCGTTGACGTGCCGTTACCGCCCGCGACAACGGCAGAAGTCACGCTTACTATTACTCCTGTTTCGGTAAGTTGAAAAGAAGGGAAATTCTTTTGTTAGGTACAAATAGTTTTAACTACAGATTTTTAACTAACTAGAAGATACATTTTGAGTTGTGAAGAGACATCATAAAAATTAAAGTCTTTACTTAAAGTCTCAAATCAAACTTGCTCTCATGTGCGCTAAAGTGGGTCACCGGTGACCTACGCGGCGTTAAACATCATTTCTTATTGATATCTTGTAACTTTCCTACAGACACCAATAACAACGAGTGCAGCAAGTGCAACAAGTGTAGCGGCATCATCGCCGGCGCCGGTGACGTGTATAACGTCGACGGCGGCGGTGGCGGCCACGCTAACGGCACCGGCGATATCGGGCAATGCCAGTGGGACCGGCAGCGCCAGTGGCAGTGGCAGTGGCAGTGCGCCACCCACACCGCAACCGGCACAGCCACCCACACCAACACAGCCTCCACCCACGCCGGAAACTGGTAAGTTATTTTTTATAAATAGTTACTATTGTCCTCATGTTAGAAAGAAAGAAAGAAAAAAACATTTATTTAGCACCAGGCACGATGCAAATGTTGGTATAGTTGGGTTTTCAACTTTACAACTTCTAAACTTTTGACGACTAGATTTTTAGGTTATAAGACTATTATAATCTTTGTTTAATTGATGAAGAAATCTGCAAGTGTTATTGAATATTTTCATATTCGAAATGTTCAGTATGGTTTGTGTCGTGGGATGATAGTATGCTCACTTTCTTACGTACCCTACAGCTCGTTTATCTACCTTTCGAGGTCTAAAATAAGCTTCTTACAATTTTACTTCTTTTCATGTCTTTCTACATTTACAATCTTCTCCTAAAGTCTTGTTAGCTTACGATTCGATAAAAGATTATCAACGAAAAAGTTTTTTAATTGTCGCTTTCCTGGAACTAGGTAGAAATCTTGCATATTAAACACTGTTACATAGATGAGGGTTTAACTCGTCGAGTACCGGTTTTGCAGACACAATTATAGAACAATAGGTTGCGGTCACCGGTGACCGCTTGGTGTTTGACAGTTTAATACAGTTTAATAATTGTGTACATTATTTATTGTTTTTAAGAATTCGTCAGCACCAATAACGTCTCAGTGATACTCCTAATAAGTTAGTTGCGGATATTTTAATCCCTTTTTCGTATTTAAACTGAATTACGTAATAACGAGTAGATATTCACAATAAATTAAAAGTTTACAAATAGAAAGAACCTTGATAAAACTTTATTATATACACATTAAAGTAAAACTTGTGCCATTGAAAATTATTGCCAAATATACGTCTGAGTATCACATTCGTAAATCCGTTAAAAACTTTGTCTTTTGAAAAGTTGAATTCATTCGGGACGTTAAATGAAACGCTTCAGCGACGTACCTTTTAACATTTATTATAACAATAGTACATTTAAACCGAAACGTGGTATAACCAAGTTGGTAAGCTCGCTTGAGATCACTCCACAATACTGATATGTACGGATTCACTGCGCGGGGCGGTTCACTTGGCGGTGGAGGTGGAAGGCTCGGGCTCGGGCTCCGTGGCGGCGCTCTCCTCGGCGTGGCAGCGCTTGCGGTGCTTGTGCACGAAGTAGTAGGACGGGAACTTGCAGCCGCACGTCTTGCACGGGTAGTAGTGCAGCGGGGCGCGCGCCGCCTTGCGCGCCCGGCACGGCCAGCCGCGCTCCGGCGAGCTCTCGCGCCACGCCACGTTCAGCACGCGGCTGAACTGCACCGGCCCGTCGCACGACGCTATGTCCAGCACCGTGTTGCTTTGACGCTTCGGAGGCTCAGGAGCTTCGATACGCTCAACATCCAACTCGCTGGATGTAGTGGATGAGGGCGAGGGTGGCGGTGGCGACGCTGGTGGTGAGGGCGCCCTGGCCCGGCGCGGCACGGGGCGGTGTGCCCCCGGGGGCGGCGCGGGCCTGGCTACACAGGGGCTCGGCCCCAGCCACGCGCGGTACAGAGACAACATGCTCGCTCGCGGCCGCTCGACGACTGCGAGCCGCCGACACGCGACTCTCTTTATATACACCGCGATACGGCACAACTTCGCGTACAAAGTTTGATTTTCAGCAGCGAATATACAATCATTACACAGGATTATAGGATTTATGGGGAATGGATCAGTTTTGGTGGATTGATGTTTCAACATTTGATTCGAAATGACGTCAAAGATGTAGTTTCAAACTACCTATATGTTAGATATTCCTAATAATGTTACTTATAACAATTTAAAACAATACCTAGGATTAGAATATATTTTAGCTAGACCACATTTCAATCCCTTTCCCATCTTTTGGGAGTATTATACGTATTTACACAAAGTGAAATATGAAGCGTATTCGGAGACGTTCCCAAGACGACAGTGACTATCCAGGCGAGTGTCTGTGACTTTACAAACAGTTAATCCACTTACAACTCCCTTGACGTAGCCATTGACTTTGTAAAACGTCATCTTTTCAAAAATATTAACTGACAACACAAGTATTCATAGGATTTTTTGGAATTATACTTAAAGAGAGACGTATCTCTTTGTCTAAAGATCTTTTAAATTCGAAATGGTGTGCTTTAAGCTAATTAAGTTGACGTAACAATATGAATTTCGTGTTTATTTTGTAATTTAATTCTACATTCGTACTTGAGACGAGTTTGCAAGACAATTAAATAAGAAAACATGTGTCATAATTATGTGACAAGCGAAAATCGTCAATATACTAAATCTCATTCGGTACCTAATTTACCAACACCAATTTTATGAGTGACTTCAAACATTGCGGTACCTTGTCTTAACAGAGGGGGACTTTATACCACGAAGCCCTAGAGACCACCATTGAGTTTAATTTCAATGATGCCGTATCGCTTTGTGAGATACGACAAAACTCTTTTATTCCAATACTTTTGCATTAATTCTAGCGATTAATTAAAACGTACTTAATATAGTCGACATTTCGTAAAGATGCTACCAAGATAATGTAAAAGTTATTTTACTACTTAACACGTAGGCATGGCGTTCGCTGATAAACCATTTTTTTAATGCTATCTCCAACTTAATTGCCGAGCGTGGAGATAGCAAACCCCTCTTTTGAGAGCCCAGTAGTAGACTCTCATAATCTTGTTTATGATGCACTAAACATTGACTTATAACTCCACTAAATTAAGAATGAATATTCAATAACAATAACACATTACATTACTTTAATCACTCAAATTCCCGATCGAAACGTAAGTTAATCCGTGGTACATTAGTGCATGACGGCGTTAATCCCGAACATGGTTGACAGTGTAAACCCTAGCAGCTCACCACACACGGAATAGTAAATGTAACATCAGCCAATGCTGCCCATGCGGCCGGGCCCGCTTTTGTAAGATTAACAGATTAAACGGTCCATGAGACTGCGAAACCCGCTTTGTCTTCACACCAATAATTTTCATAATTACACGGATCATCTGTGTTGTAATCTAGTTGAAAGTTATTGTAATAAAACGACCACCCCCAAATTACATGTTTACTAAGGGGATGGAGTACCTAATTAACCTCTTAACTGTACCTACTGTTAGATGTTACTTACAAGTGCGTGAAAAGTGTCTCCTATCTTAATTTAGAAGTTCCTTAAAATTTAACAGAGGTTGCTGAAAATGGATGTTAGAATATCAAATATCATAAACGCTAGTGTTTATTTATTAAATATGATTTTGTAATATAACTTCAAAGGGAATCAAACAGTTGGTTAAATTATGAAGTTTATTTTTGTAAAATTAAAGGGACATTGACAAATTTTATAATAAAATCAACACACACAGCATACAGAAGGCATTTAATCTACAAAATGTCTGCGTCTGTTTGCGATGTAAATAAACACAGATAGCCGGACTCGTTAAATTCTCGCGCTTCACAGAACATCGGTGGGCAAACAGAGGTGACATCCCGCTCCACAGCTTGCCCACCCGTGGGATATCAAGTGTAGGAAAATTGTGTATAAACATGTTTCGTTGTGTATTTTGTCTACAAATGAATAGGGTTTAAAATTTGTCAGTCCCTGTTGGGCGCCAATAATTTGCATTATATTTGTACTTGCATTTCCAACGCCATTGATTACATTTTTGGTTCTTGGAATAACACACGATTCACGTCATTACTGTTTATATGTAATTCGTATATATGATAGTATGTAACCGGTAATTATATTAGTACCACGTTGAGCGCCATTCCACCAAAGCGCTGTGTAAGCTTTGAGTTGAATAAAACGTTGAATCGTGATCCAATTAGTGCTTGTGCAAATATCAGTAATTGGTCGAGTCGAGATTAATCGGCGGTGCTCGACATGGATTTTGTATCTCCAGGGTAACTTTATGTAGCTTTAATGCTGGCTTATTAAAAGTATATTAGATATTATTTAATTATAACTTCTGCTTTATAAATATCTTTTAAAGATCATTTGGAGTATAAAATGAATAAATAAGCTGTACACTGTACGGATAGAAATTCAAGGATGTGATTTAAAATAACGCAGTTTTGTGTCTTGCTGCATTTTTTTGTGTCTATCTGCAACCAAAACCTACGATACAGGGCGTGTTCAACCATTGCCAACTGACTCGACCGTCTACAATAACCTTAAAAAACTATTTTCCATTGATATTTCTAGTCATTTCCAGTGTATATTTAATTCTATGTCCTAGTCACTCAGTAATAGCTTGGTGGCAGTAAGACAAACGTCGTTCGTTTGCTCAGGGATTGCAGACACTAATTAGCACTCCGAGTCACGGCTATACAGACAGACGAACTGATCGAATATTTATGTATCTACTGTAATTGTAGCTATGTTTATTTTGATTTAATTAGAAATGTCTTTAGGGAATTAGGGGTTGACCATGTGGTTTTAGTTTCAATCTCTGTTATGTGACACAATGCGTTTTGCGTCTTAAATACCAACATACAAGAGGTTAATGTCGAAGTAATACACAATACCTAAGTCAGTGATACACGTACCTAAATCAGTGATACACAGTAAGTCATGTATGTTAAGTCAGTAAATTGGAAATTCGTAATTGGCTGTAAGAATAGTTTGTAGATATTGCTCAATTGATATCACCAAACGAAATAATTTAAAATGACGTTTCCAATGTCAAACACTTGGACAATGGCGGTATTAGGAGCGAGCTCACGGAACTGTACGGTATTATGTGTAATGTTTTAGAGCTGTGGGTCTTGTGATAAAAATATTTTAATAATCTATCTATCTTACTGTAGGTTTTTATTATCGGCTTTTATGTATTCGTATAACTTTCATTACATTTTCTTTTAGTGTTTATGGTTTTTGTAGGCGTTTTGTATTTTGAGATGTTTAGGTGGTGATTTCAAGAATTATGTAGTATGGTAATATGTATTTATTACATTACTTAAATAGTTACTTAAAATTTGAATTCTCCAACCTCCACTTCGTATATTCACAACGCTTAAAAGAATTGGCAAAGACAAGCTTTTGACAAAAATATCCAAAAATATATCTAGATTTATCTATTCTTAAATCCCTACTTACTTATTAACAAAAACAAACTACCCATCGCCTCTGTTCACAACTAAACTGCATAAATGTAATTACCCAGCAGTTAGGGAGTTAATACGAGCGAGCACAAATCTCTTCGTCTAATAGTTAATTATTTAACTTGCACCGATGCAGTTTAACCGCCTCCGCTTCAGTGTAAACTCGCTAAACTGTTTCCATGTTGGTTCTTAGTTTTTGACTGATTTACGTAATGTATTTGGTGGATTAAGTATTACTATGGCGATATACTAAGTGATTTTATTAGTTTTTGTAGAAATCTTTGTATTTAAGGGACCGTTATTCTTTCTTAAATGGCGAGGGGATAGCTATTTGTAATTTTGACTTATGTATAATCTAATCAAAGTACTATTTGCCTTTCAAAAATCGTTAAACAAATCAAACATGTCGACAAACGTTTCATTTTAACAAATTCACACACACGGAACAAACTCGCAAACTAAATAATAAAATCGCATAGATATTAATTGGAACGCACGCGTATGTATGACTCGACTGTAATTCAATTTGTATAACAAACAGCAATAAATAATTAAACAAACAGTGCATCGGTATCGGAACTAAATTGGCGCTAATCTGCTTTCGCTACAAATTGGCGCCCAACGTGAGCCCGCTGAATATTGTACGAGTCCCGTTCCACTGCGCCGTGATTTACGGATCATCTCGTGTTGTTCTGAATAAACTTGTTAATATGCAACTGAAGCTTGAATAATGAACTATATGGAAACTAGATTCGCATTTGTTGTTCCCTAAATGCTTTTAACTGTTTTGATTTTCGGTGGTATCGTTTGTAGGTGAATTGAGTTATGTTTTAGTTTGATAATCGTCGTAGGTTATTATGAGGTACGACTTTAGACTAGGTCGTCATTTCATCGTTCAACCAATGAGAGAAAGTCCAACAATTCTTACATTTCACCTCCCAATTCTTCAATATTTTTTCACCTTAAGCCATTTTATTAACAACAATAAATTGTCCACAGCGGTAACAGAACGCATTGGAACACCATCTTCGACAGCCACAATCACCACAACGACGATAACAACAACATCATCGAATTGTGCCGTCTGCAACAACTCAGGGGCCAACCACTTAGTCTCAAGGTCACAGGCAGTTCACTATGGTCTCAAGGAAGAAGCCGTAGGGGCCAGGGTCTGTGAGCCCTGTCACAGTAGATGCGTTCGGTCTCGATACACCAGGTGTCCGGTCCCGACGTGTCCTGGCCCCAAGGTCAGCCCCAAAAGACTGAGGCATCTTCCTCCACGGTGGCATGACTTGAGTTTAGAACAGAAAAGGCCACTTATGGAAGAGTTCGGTGAGTTTCTTCTTTTTGGTTGTTGACGATAATACCCTAAGCAAATTGCTATGTTCAAGAATCTCATGGAATATTAAAACGTTGTTGTCAATTTCAAGTTTTGTGATCTTTAGTCCGGATATGGCGAAAATTAATAGAAGGAATACCCATTCCTTCTGCAATGTGCAGCAACTGTGTTATACACACTACACTTCTGCTGTAGGAGAATTCGAAGCTTGAAGATATTCTTTTTATGTAGACACTAATCATCACAATCTTCTTTCACAGAAATCCCAAGCGAGTTAAGCAAGTGTTGTTTCGTTTGCCACAAGACTATAACGAAGAGGTTAGAAGCGTTAGTGGAGGGAGGGTCAGCGCCGGAGCCCACGGAGGAGGAGGCGGCGCGGTTCCGGGCGTTACTGAGGGAACACGGCACCGCGTGGGACCGGATAGCTGCCGTCAGCGGCAGGACTCCGGCCAGCTTGAAGGCGTTCTACTTTACTTATAGGTGAGACATTTGTAAATTGATCATGATATCTGGTGAATGGACGATAAACATATCATTAATTGTAATTAGGAGTGGGACTATCCATAGCTTTTCCGGACAGCCATATTGTTGATTTGTCAGATAATTTTAACATGATGTTTAATTTAAATGGAGGAGAACTTCTAAATGGAGCCATCGTGTGGACTAGTTTTCTTGTGTGAAAATACCATTCTGAATCATGATAATTTACTTAATCCATTTCAATCAACAGGAGAAAGTTACAACTAGACACATTAGTAGCGGACCGTCCCGCGTCAGCGCGGTGTAGCTCGAGCGAGGATAGTGCACTATCTTCCGCGGACACAGACACGGCCAGCGGCGGGTCCCCGGCGCGGGCCCCGCCGGCGCAGCCCGCTCCAGCGCCCCGCACCGACGCGGTCGCACCCCGCCGGCCCCGACGGGACGAGTACGACTCCTCCGCCACTGAAACTGCTGACGAGGAAAACGATGCGCCAAGCGCTAAGGTTCGTACTATAATATTGTTATTATTAATTTTCATTAGTCACGACTTTAATCCAGATCTCCCCCCTCAATGGATGACACCCACTGATTATTCACTTCTTCAAGACCTCTTCCTCAATAGACTTGTCATTTTTACATGAAACAAGTTCATTCATATCAAGCTTGATTAACTTCTGAAAGAATTGTTTGGTTCGTTAATTGGCACCAGGACAAAATTAAACAAAAATCTTAATGCTCAACTCAGCATATCTTCTGAGTAACTGCTTTTTCTACGTTCTAACCTGCTTTAATATGTATTTCTGCACATCGGGTGCAATAAAAATATACAACGCAATGAACTAAAAACTATAATCTTTCCTTCTGGCTTTGCGTAGCATACTATTTCCAATATACACGCGTAAACCACAATAAACTATTAATAATTATGTTCTTCAAACAGTCGCCTTCTTCAGTGTCCAACTACTGATTTTCTTTATGCTTTTTATCTATGTGGAATACCCAACGGAGATCAGGATTACATCTCGTTTATTAATACAATTAAATTTAATTAAAAGTTCATGAGCATGTTCCCTAACTGTTAGTAAAATCATTTCATTTATATCTATTTATTAGTACTAACTCTATATGCGTGTAACATTTCATATTTCGAGAAGGCTTCCTACTATTCATACCATCATTTCATCTCTGCATCACCCAAAATTCTAAATTTGTTAGGCAATGCTTAAAAACCTAATACAAGTGTACCTTTACATCACAATAATGCGTCTGAAGTGTGGCAATTATAAAATAAAATTAATATGTACTAAGTGTAATTGAATTCAATTGGGGGTATCTATGAAAAGCTGATGAGCAGTATGTATCCCATTTAGGGGTCAATCTAGACCAGGGAGGCCAATGTACAGTTCAATATCTCCGGTCACCAATCCCTGCCTAGCGTGGGGACTCACAGATAACAGAAAAATAGCTCTTGTTCTCTAAGCTTAGATTAATTTCTCTTAGCCCTTACTTACTGGGTACTTTGGTTAGCCAGAGTAAAGGTTGTGTAACGATGGAGCTGAGGGTCTAGTAGCATTAGTATTGTTCATGCACTAAAGACCTGCGAGTGAACTAAAGAGAGTCAAAGTCTTATTTCAGCTGGCAAAGGGTTCTCTGACGAAGCTGGAACAAGATGCTAGCTGCCAAACTAAACGACAACGTTTTCTAAAGACATTGAAGTTGATGTGTATGGCTTCCGTCGATGAAAACGCCTTCGGCTTTGTTAGAGTCATACAACGTTGTTGTGTGGATTGGTAATTTATTGAATTGTATAGTTGCCAATCCTAAATAGTCAGACGGGCGATAGAGAAATGCTATATCTTCAAAACTGTTCAACAGTAGACTGGAAGACGCCATAAATACAACTGCTTTCAAGTTCAAATTTAACTTGAAGTATTTTTGGTGTCGGTACCGCAAAAGTTTTCAAACTTTACTACCAAATTGTGGCAAGTTACAGCAAAGCTGATCCATAGCAACCTTAGTCAGATTGAACAACTTTCTCTGAAGTGTAAAATCAGTAATAAGGACATCCAGAAGAGAATCAAAGTTCTCAACATATACAGTTCGTAGGATCAGTAAGCTGAAATGCCAAATGACTGTCATTGGTAGCCAGACGGCCACGGATGGCCTTGTAAATCGACGAATTTAAGACGGTGGCCGGAGATGACCGAACGCGAAATATGGGGGATCGGGCGTTACACGGCAATGAAGAGGCTTATGTCCATTGGACTTCAAGCTGATATGATGACGATGATGACGATGATGCTAGCTAGAATCATAAATTTAAATGATCATTCCTCAAGTCACTTGTAACATCATCGTATCATCTCACAGATCGTTCCCCCCACGTCAATCCCGACGGCGGTATCAGCAGCCACGTCTTGTAGTCCGGTGACCGTTGTGTCGTCCGGCACGACCACGATGCCGGTCGTCAGCCGGATGACGAGCGCGCCGCAGACCGTGCGGGACGTGGTACTCAACCTCATTGAGATCAGCCTCACCAAGGACATGCCGAGCCAGCACCCCAGTATCAAGCATCAGATCAAGGTAGGAACTACTTCTAGTAGACACACGGACACACGTCACTATAATAACGTGGATTAAGTTTTAGTTATTTGATGATGTAAATACTAGCGTGACTTGCGATCAAAAGGTCTCAGGTTCGATTCCTGGATCGCGCAGGGTTATTGAGTTTTTCTACACGGGTGTGTCCCTTAGGGAAACAAAAGGTGTGATGTTAGGTGATGTTATGATGATGGAATTAACAGGATTGTACACTCGAAGTGGACCTTCTCGTCATGTTGACTATGTGTAGGGCGGATGTAGTCGTATATTTAGTTGGCGCAGTACAGCAATGATCGTCCGTGTAACAGTCCCGTGCCCTGCAGGTGACGTCAGCCTGCGCGAGCGGGCGCGAGGCGCTGGCGACGCTGAGCGTGGTGAACAGCTCGCACGTGGGCGCGGCCGGCGCCGCCAGCCCGCAGCGCGCCGCCACCATCACGCCCGTCGCGCACGTCGCGCCCTCCAACGACAAGGACGTCATGCTGCTGCACATCGAGCCCCGCCCCGAGCGGCCCGAGCGGCCCGAACGACCCGAGCGGCCCGAGCGACACGAACAGCTTCTAATACGGCACGAAAGACATGAGCCGTTACTTGATCTGAGCGTCAAACGGCCGAGGCATGATCAGCCGTTCTCACATCCTAATAAGTCGGTTAGTATACGACATTTATTTACGTACAAAGAAACTATTAAGTTGCGCAACGAATTTTTGTCATTTGCGCAAAAAATTTGACCTTCAACATGTTGATATTTATTTTATTGAGTTGTATATCTACAGATCCTATAATTTTACTAATCCACGCATTTCTTCCGCCAGGTATATCGAAACTCAACAGAATACCGGCCGCAACAGGAAAGGGAATCTCCTAATCAGTACAATTCCAAGCCTAAAGCCGTCGGTGCGCCCCCTAGACCTCAAGTTAAGGCGTCACCTAACCCTAAAGGCTCAATAACTCTTGGGACCCCAGTGGAAACGAGGTTCGAGCCTCATAGAAACCCTCCGGAGCCCAAAACGGGGTCCATTACAGCTGGGACCCCGGTACATCCTCATCACTTACCTGACAAGCGAACCCTGGAGTTCTACAAAAGAAGAAGTCCAGGTGGACCTGCGGCGTACTACGCAGCCACCAGTAGTCAGCCCAGGCCGCAATCCCCTTCATTTTCACCTGTAAGTACTTTCAATAAACATGTAAAAGTAAATTTTTGTCACGTTTTTACTGCGTCTACCAAGATTTGACCCAAAAATATCACTTATCGAGTTGTGAAGGACATATGATAGTTTCACAAGATCACTATTGTATTTACAACAAACGGATGAAATCTGATAAGAAATCCCCATCCCATAAATTCCCAATGGGTCAGCAACGCACTTGTAATTTTCCACTGGTGTGGTTATCCATTCGACGCTGATTGCTTACCATCAGGTTTTTTTTATATATATGATGGGCCGACGTTTGTCCACTATCTTGCCTGGTGGTAAGCGCTGATGCGGTCTACTATGAAGTTCCATAAGCAACCTATTCACAAGGGCCTTGAAGACACCCTTCAGGAAATACAGATTCTGGCTGGCTGGCTGAATTCCACGTGATCTGCCAGGTGCCCGTATTTCACAAAAACTTGTATAATATTTATTTTTTTATTTTATTTACAGACCGGCTATACTCGAAACCCTTACGGGCCAGAACAGCGCCAGATAATCATGGCGGACTTCATAACGTCGCAGCAGATGCACGGTGGGGCTCGACGTGAGCGGGAGCGGGCTGCCAGTCCTCAGTACCGCAGGGATGCGAGGGATGCACGGGATGCGAGGGATGCAAGGGACGCCAGGGATGCCTCCGTCATACAGAGGCATACACCCCATGCATACCATGCACATCCACATCCACCACCTGGTAAGTTACGCTAAATATTGTATTCATTTATTATCTATATTTACAAAATTATGTATTCATGTTTCGTAAATGGATAAGTTATATTTTTGTAGGATTTTTTAAATTAATTCATTCCAAACCCAAATCCACAGGACTAAGATCAATTTTTACACCGGATTTTATTTATGATCTATCGTTATGCCAGCACTGGGTCGTACCCATGGTTTGAAGTAATGTTTTGTTTGTAACATTTAAGAAAAAGGTGAAAAATATCACGTATTTTTAGGGCCATGTTTTACAAGTACACTTCTAAATTGAATCTTATTCTATTTACATAGAAGAACGCGCAGCATCTCCGCAGTACCGACAACGTGATGCTCTATCAGTAATACAGCGCCACTCTCCGCAACACGTCTATCCACACCAGCATCCGCAGCCGCCGCCAGGTAACATACATACATACAAAACAAATTTACGTTATAATATTCTCACCAAAATGAAGAAAGAAAAATTTTAACACAGATACATCTAACATTCATTTTACACATTTCGAGTATGCCCAATTAGTTTCAAGCGTTATTGACTAAGAGCCCTAATATGCCTCGAAAGTAATCGAACATCCTCGAAACATTACACGTAAGTTATCTGTTATTGAACCTTGTAATTTAACAGGACACGAAGCATTCACATCGCTAGTGGACGTGGCGTCGGCGGCGACAGCTCTGCCAGTCCCCCGCGGGTCACAAGCGGAGGGCAAGCAGGACAACAAGCAACAACAGCAACAACAACAACAACAACAACAGCAGCAACAACAGCAACAACATCATGACCTCAGGTGAGAAAAAAATATTGATGAAAAAATTTGATCAAATATATTTTTTTTCTGTTCGTTCTTCTCCATAGAAATCTACACATTGGAATGAGCATCGATTTTAATTTTTGGCGTTCTAAAGTGCCTTTCTTGTCAAATTGAAATGAATAATTTTGACTTTGAAACAACACAAGTGTTAACGTATATTATGGCGATTCTTTTTTACGTAGATTTTAAACATTCCTTTAAAACATTTCTAAGATAAAAACCAATAATAAAACAGTTTAAAAATCATTTTTAGAACAGTAATCACTTCATAGTATAAAACAAAGTCGCTATCCGCCGTCTGTCTGTCCCTATGTATGCTTAGTTCTTTAAAACTACGCAACAGATTTTGATGCGGTTTTTTTAATACATAGAGTGATTCTAAAGGAAGGTTTATATGAACATATACATCCATATTGCATCCGTGCGAAGCCGGGGCGGGTTGCTAGTATGTAATAATTAATTTGAAATTGTGTTCGTTCCACAGGTTTATGGCGCAAAAATTCCCTCTTGGCTCTCAATTCACAGTGAGTATTATAAATTATTTAAATATGTCATTAATATATGATATTTTTCTACTAAGATTTTTAAGATACGTTCCGGAGTCGTATAAAAACTAATAATGATTGTAATATTCCAGCAAATGATGGACAGAAGAGTACAATCCCAGCCCCAGTACATAGAGCGAGACAGACAGCTACAAATGCAGAGACGAGACGCGTAAGTATATCATGTATACATGTTCAAAACCAACTAAAAATTGCGGGTTACTCACGGGAAAATACTGTGAAAAGTTCTACTAGTTTCGAACCACAGAGGGGTTCTTCCTCATGAGCAGTGTGCCTACTGTAGGCTTGAAACTTGTAAAGCTTTAGTTTCAGTATTTTCACGTGAGTAACCCGCGATTATTAGTTAATTTAGGTTTATTATATTCCTAACCATCAAAAATTAATCAACTTCCATTATTTCCTTCCAGCGAGAGAGCAATCCACGCGATACAAGAGCGACAACACGCGCTCGAGCAACACCAACAACACCAACAACATCAACAACACCAACAACATCAGCAACACCAACAACACCAGCAGAGCCAGCACCAACCCCACCAGCCCCACCACCAGCCTCACCACTCCACGCCCGCGCAGATACTGCACGACAGGCACCACATGCAACACTCCATTGTAAGTATTCGTTTTAACTTTACACTGCTAGAATCAACGCTGTATAATTTACAGCAAATTGAATTCAATAGATACTTATCTTGAAATCACAAAAATAATATTCTTTGCGTCCGTTTCATGACTTTGTACCGAATAAATAGAACAATGGGTCGGGCAAAGTGTTACTGGGTTTTTTTTATATCTTTGTAGTAGCACGGTGTCTGGAAATGTGCCCGGTGTATGGCAATGGGCTCACCCCCTATTATTACATGGGACTCATAACATAAATAGTGAAAAGTGGGTGTTACATTGTACAGTGGCATTAAACGCCGTAATGTGCACCTCTGCCTGCCCCTTCGGGAATAAAAGTCGTGATGTTTTGTTGTGGTAGAAGTCATTAGTGATATTTTAGGTCATTTTTTTTAATACACCTGTAAACGTTGAATTTAGGTTCAAATTACAAGATGTAGACAATATTTTAAGCGTTAAAAACTAGGTATAATATGTTTAAATGAGATATTAGTTTATAAATACAATTAATTTATTCCTTTTCTGATAAATGGAGAGCTAGATAAGGTGTATCATATTCGTAATTTCTTAGTAAGTACAAAATAATTCTTGTACCTTTTGAATAAGAATATGATCATACAAGAATGACGAGATCTTTATAAATTGCTCAATTCGTGTTCTTTATAATCATGTGGATTATAATACCAATTCACTATTAAAAATATAGTTTTACCTACAGAGGAGATAGCAAACTTTAACTACAATTTACTTTCACAAATAAATATTTCATTATACTTCGTATGTAATGCTCAGCGACTTGACCAAAAATACGTTTTAATACATGCGTCGTACGTTACACCGTATAGCACGCGATGCAGGAGCGACAAGCCGAGCAACAGCAACAGCAACAGAAGCAACAGCAAATGATACAGGACAGGCATCAACATATTATGGTCAGTTTACTTTACTGACTATATTCGCTTATTTTCTTATTATTGGCGTTGTAAATGCAACTTTACGTTGAATGTCTTATGATTTAAATTAAGTTGATGACTCTATTGACGAGAATTTTACTAAATTAATACTTTTAAATCTCAATACCCGACGTATTGATATATGAAGAGGTTTGAGAAGCAACAGAATACAGATACAGGGCATGATATGGTCTAACTTGTAACTTGAATATTGTTGTTGTACACTGTATGTATTGAATGTCTTTCAGTTGATTTAATTGCTCTATTGACGAGTATTTAGTCTAATTTTTTGATATCTATATATATAAGATAATTTCTTTAGGAATACTGACCTTCGTTATTGGTACCTCAAAATAGTTTAAGTAATGTTATGTATGGGTGAAAATGAAATAAGCGAAGGGGATCTTAGCTATAATGCCCGTTAAGTTTGAGTTTTTAGATAATTTAAAGGTTTTCTCACGTTACTTAATATTTGACTGCCTCGTTGGCCGAGTTGTCGCAATTGCTACTGCCGGGCAAGGAGTCTCGGGTTCGATTCCCGGGTCGGGCAAAGTATTACTGGATTTAAAAAAAAAATCTTAGCACGTAACCTGGAATTGTGCCTGGTATATGACAATAGGCTCACCCCCTTATTACATGGGACTCATAACATAAATAGTGAAGAATGGATGTTACATTGCACAAAGGCATTAAGTGCCTCTGCCTACCCCTTCGGGAATAAAAGGCGTGATGTTATGTTTATTTGTCGGTGCTATTTTCAGGCTGCTTATTTACAGACTGCCTAATTATATTTCGTTTACTGACATTATGGTATGTATTGTTACAGAGCGTATCCTCGCAGGATGGAGAGCGTCGCATGATTCAATCAGTGACGTACAGCACGCCGGGCAAACCCAGGGCGCAGACACCGCATCATATCGACAGGAAAGATGCGTGAGTATTTTACTTATTGTAGTTTAATTTGGTATTTATATTGTTAATGTTAAAACCGTGAAACATACTAAATTAATTATTATGTTTCCGGCTTACTCAAACAGTTACGACTGTTTAAAAATAAATAATCAACTCAATAACTGTCCTCTACATGTTCCGAGGATCGCATTATAGAAAAGAAAAAAAATCAAATAAAATGTCATACGAACATAGGCCAAAATCAAACGATTTCTTGATTTAATCCCGTACTTATCTCTCTACAGACAACTGAACTACATCACAGCCTCTTTTGACACAAAAAACCTAACATATACCCTTTTTCTTTATCAATATTGCTTAAAATTTGTATTTGTGTCCCCAGTCGCACAGTGGTATCGGCAGTACCAGTGGCGGGCGCGGGCGCGGCGAGCGTGGCGGCGGGCGTGGCGGCGGACGGCCGGCCGCGCCCCGCCGAGGGGACGCTCACTGCCGCCTCACTCATTGACGCCATCATCACGCATCAGATCAGCCAGAGCTCCGACCAGAGGTTCCCGGTGAGTACCGGTTTATATACTTCACTTTAAACACCTTATTTGTGAACAATATTTATACAAAATGCCAGAAAACATTTTCAAAATCAAGATAATTAGGTACTACATATTCATTTCTATTGCTTCTTGAAATAGCCCCTGTTAAGCGCGGAGATTATTGTTAATTCGTATGAAGAGGATGCCAAATTTAGGGCATGGGTTTTAAATGTTGTACATAAAACTAACATCAATTTATCCATCCAGCAACAACAGGAGCGAGTAGAGCGTGCAGTGAATGTAGGCGTGGGAGTGAGCGGCACGGCGCACACGACGTCCATCAAGCTGGGGGACCTCGCCTCCAACATCATCACCAGGGACTTCTGCAGCCCCACCACCTCCGTCATGCATCACAAGTATGTGGCTGCAACTATGTATTTATTACTTATTCTTTGTCAAACTATTTTGCTTCTTCTTTTTACCTACAGTTTTTAGAAGAACCCCCACTTCTAATACTATATGAGATAAAAATGCAGTGGAAAATACTCTTGTTTAGATCTGTGTTTCGGCAAGGCACTATTTAACAATTATTCGTAGTCATCAAAATTATCAGATTGTTTAGGATTAAGACATACATTAATTTGTTTATTATTTTTATTTCTTAATTTCTATTTTTCTAGAGATACACCCTACACTAGCATTCTAAGTTAACACATGGTTTATTTTTTCAATATTTTGGAACAACAAAATTCAGAAAAATAATGGAATGAATGGGAATTCTGTCCAATCTTTCTTTCTCCTAGACCAATCCTTGCTTAAGGTGCATTCAATTCAAAATTACTCTAAAAGAAAGTTTGTAACAAGTAATATTGTTTCCAGCAACAGATTCAACGTGGGTAACTCGGAAGGGTACGTGGCTGGCGGCGCCGAGGAGTGGAAGCGACGCGACGCGCCCAAGCACGCGCCGTACCTCGAGCCTGTCAGCCCGCCTGATAACCATCCTGCCAATAGGTATTTATGGTTACTACCATTTTAATTATATATTTATTTGTCGGTTCTTAATACTAAAATGTTTGCCTAAATTACATCTAAAAGTTGACGAGAAAACAACAAAGTCTGCTGCTTTGATAACTACAATAATAATTATGTATTTAGGGCATGCATCTCGATCTGCCAAGTTTTATTTAATAATTAACATATTATTATACTATTCGTTACAGAAACAACAGCAACCGTCGCTACAGCTGCGTGGGCTCGTCGTCCGTGGGGGGCGGCGGGGTGGGGGGCACCCGGGGCGGCGGGGGAGTGCTGACGGCCTTTGATTACGTCACCAACCGCATAGTGGAGGTCATGCGCTCCGACGCGGACGAGCGAGCCAAGCCCCTCGCATTCCCTACTACTGCGTACGCGTACCCGTACTCAGCGCTCAATGTACAGGCTGCTGGGGATGGTGAGTTTAAAGCTTTTTGTTTTTTTTTCTCTTAGCTTTATGTTTAAATAAGTTTTCTTTAAAGTAAAAACAGTTTCTATTAAATGTAGACAAACTTTGAATTTTATTTCAATGCTGGTCTCAACACACCTTTGTGTGATGTGTGATATTTGATATAGATTTCGTTGATTAAACAGTTAAGAGCCACAAACACTATTTGTTATAAAGGGCATTGATTAAAATTGGTGCCTTTCTTTTTTCTGGCGGCAGTCGATGATTTATGGAAAATATTATCTAGAATGACATTACAAACGAAATTGTCTATGGGCTTATATATAGAAATCTCAGTCTGGACTGAGTTATGAGCGTTGAAGGTAGCTGGAGTCAAACATTTTACTTCGGTTTTTTATTCAAATTATTCATAGTTTTGTCACAATTTTAACTTCAAATTGCGCGCCACTGTACTCCGGGCACAGGAAAACCATATCACACCACAATATATTCATATTGCCAGGCACTAATTTTTATTACCTATTTTCTCTCAGTCGATAGCTTGTGGTATGCTTCTAGGAGTTGTGTCATGAAGCTTCATGAGCGTCAGCTGTGGTACCAGTGGTGGGTTGAGTAGTGGTAGCCGTCCAAACATCTAATAAAGTATATTTTTTAACTACTTAATATTTAGCATAATCTTTTGAAGAAAGAAAAACGTCGACTTTTAAAGTGATCAGCGCTCTTCAATCCGCTACCGACGCCGCAGCTGACAAACATAGCATTTCATGATAGGGCTCAGTAAAGTATTTTGCGGGTATTTGACTAAGAGGAAATTGATCATGAAAATCTGTCATAGGCCATAAACCGTATACATATAAAGAACACGCTAGCCAATCAAGCGAAATGTTTCTTTTTCTTTAGCAGTGGTCAATTAATAGTTCACTCTGTTCTGATTCAGTGGCCTCATAACAAAAAAAAAAAAACAAAAAAAAATAAGTAAAAATCTCCACAATAAGCTTTGTTATATTCCTTGAAATCGTTTATGAACATTAATTACAAAATATTTCTGACGAGTAAATGAAGAAAATATATGCGTTGTGTACGGTCACCATCAACAAAATCACAGGGATAATATAGCACTATTTTCACATCTTTGAACTGATGTAACTCGATTTGGACTGTGTTTTTGATATAAGGCCCCATATATTTTTTTGTTTGTAATGTTATTCTGCATCAGTTTTTCCACATCCGATCAACTGCCGCGAAAAAATGAAAAGGCACCACGCTCCATACAAATTTGGTCATTGTCATTTGTGTACTCATATAATATTATCTTCTCCTCAGCTGCACCAAACAGCACGGCCCCTAGTACGTCAGTATCGACCCCCGCGCCCCCGCCGCCCCCGGAGTCGGCGCCGCTGATGTCGGCGCAGTACGAGCCGCTGTCGGACGAGGACTGACGCCCCGCGCCCCCGGCCCCCGCGCCCCCGGGCCGCGCGCCCCCGCGCCCCCGCGCCCACCCCGCCCCCGCCTAGCCCCGGCGCTGCTCCGTCATCACGCGCACGCACTCGACTACAGAATGAAGGCCACCGTGGACATACAACACGCAATATTCCAGCGGACAGTGTAACGGAGTGAACCAGTGCAGTGACAGTGTACGGAGCGGCCCAGCCAGGACATACCCGGGTGCACGAGCCGTGCTACCCGGCTCTATACTTTCCATGTTTATTGTTTATGTAAACTCATGTAAATACGTACGAAGTTTTTTTACAAACTGATTCTTATAGTGACGTGTAGTATTCTGACAAAAGACATTGAACACAAAGTATCGATACTGACGTACTGACGTACTGACGTACTGGGTGCATTTCGTGTGATCTCGGTCTACGTGGGAGTGCAGACCTCGATGTAATCGTGTATGTATAGACGATGGTACTAAATTGTATATTTATATCTTGTTTTGTAATGCAGGGATTAAATACCGTTCATGTGTTGTGGGAGAGCTTTAAATGTCCGGTAGTAAGCGATTTGATTGACGATCACGTCGGCGGCACGTCGCGTCACGTCCGCGTCACGTCGCGTCACGTCCGCGCCACGCACGTGGCACTCGATACGCTTATGAACATTATGCTGTCGATTAGTGAGAATACGATTATGAATTGTTATTTATTTAGTTACGAAGATGTTTCTGTATTCGGTCGAGTACCAGTAGTGGGGCGCCGCCCCCGAGCCAGCACTGCCGCTAGTGACTAGTGTCCGTCGTGCCTGTGTGCGGCAGGTACAAACGTTGTAATCCAGTCTTCCATCGCCGCTCCGACAGTAGGCGCCGCGTGCTCCGCGCCATTCGTCCATGTATGATGTATGAAGTAGCCGCACTAGAGCACTAGCCCTGTATATTTGTACAGTGCGACCTACGACCACTATATACCTTTTGTATTGCTTCGCTTCGGATTTCGCTGTCGCCTCATCCACTAGGTTAGAGTACGCGTAGTTGAATTGATCATTTGTTACTTTCGTATTGTAAATACCATTATGTCGTTCGTTTCATGTAAACTTTGTGTATATCGGCCCGCCACAGCGAAGTCCGGAACGGTCTCCGAGCTGATTGAAATCGAAACTACTCGACTCGGGAACTGTCTACACCCTTACTATATATATAGCGTAACGTTAACGGAGTAGCGTAAGTTATATAAATTATATACATATGTAAAAGTGTATGGTTATTATGTATATGCATTTGTAATTATACAGGTTAGCTAAGAGTTGAATTAGAGATTTGATTTGGTTTTTTAGTTAGGAGGGCCCCCGAGGCCGGTATAAATATAGCGGGAGAGGAGAGCGCCGCCGCCGCCGCTCCACGAGCCGCGCCCGTGCGGGGGCTGCGCCCTGCGGGGCTCCGCCACCCACCGCCGGAGCCTGTCCGTCAGTTTTATGACTACCTCCCTGTTGTATAAAGCCTACCCTCCCGACTTCACTATAGTATTAATGTAGGCGGGTACTGAGCAGCGCGCGGTGTTTTTGTAAATGTTTTCGAGTTATGTGTAAAAAACGACTGATTAAATTTACTTTGAGCGAGTGTATGGGTGGCGCGGCGGCGGTGGCGGTCGCGAACACATTGTGATTTCTTTATAAAACGTTGTAATGTACTGTAAGTAGCCCAAGAAAAAAAATAATCCTGTAAGTCCGAACATAAGCGAAAAAACAACTTCTGGGAGGACAAATCAATAAAATAAGATGCAAATCTAACGCCTGAGTTTTATTTATATCGTCAGACGCAATCTGTGTTCACTGCAGCGTTGTAGATATTTCAGACGAGCCTGTCTTACGACTCCTCATCCTCCCGCTCTATTAATAATCTATAATAATAAAAGTACATCAACCACTATATCCGCTGACTAGTGGCCTGCCAGTCGCTGTACTAATGTACCTGTTACCTACTATACTATACATGCAATGAAAATGATTTTATACATACATATACAAAAATAAAAGATTTTTTACGTTTTCTATATTTTTATTACCTGCATCTACGTCTAAGATTCTAAAATTACGATATGGCTGCAGTTTTAAGCGAAGCATTATTTCTACATAAATATAATAGGACGCTGGTTATATCTCAACTCAACGAGATAGGCAGAGGTGCAGTACACCCATTATTGATCAGGTATGTTATAGATCCATTGTCACAGGAGGTAAGCTTATTGGTTATAGTCATGGGCACTACCAGGATTACTTTCAAAGAGGTACAATTCTTATACTCCCGCGCAACGCACAAAAAACCCGGAACTTCTAGTCCAATTTGAATAATTATTTTTGTGTTGAATAGTCCATCTATCAAGGAAGGCTACAAAACAGCACGCTACGATCAATAGGAGCCGAGCAGAGCGGGTGAAACCGCGCAGTAACAGCTAGTTATAATTTAAAACAAGTTATCAAGAACCTTTTGTTTAACTAATATAAGGCCCCTACGACGGCGACGACCCTAATCTTTTTCAAGTGGACTAGGGCAGTTCTAACTCAGGTTAACCTGGGTTAACCTAGCCCCGTATTAAAGATTTTAAAATTCATCATTTAGATATAGGGCCCAAGGGCACTTCCACACCACCCCTAATTAGAAAAAATGTTTTTACGGGTGTGGAAATATAGGGGGATAATGATATATTTGATCTGCCAGCGTCCATGTTCTAGATTCCATAAATATAAGCGTTTCTTTATCTTTTTTATACTTGATAAGTAGACGTATCTAATATACTAACAAGTAGCTATTAATTAACACTTTTCTCTTTGAAGAAATTGAGAAGCAGAGTGAAGTAAGACCATGCAGTTTTGATAATCTGTAAGTAAATAAAAAAGGAAATTATTTGGTAAATGGTATTGTTGTTGTAGGTATGTAGGTACCTACATATTTCTAGAATATTAATAAAAATCTAAGTATATTACCGTGCTGTAACTGGCGAGAGAAATTACTGAAAATCCGTGTGTCGTCACGTAAATACCCTTTTGGGCCCTGAAAGTTGTACAAAAGTGATTTATTTCAGTATCTATTGAAAATTCATTTAGAGTTTACAAAAATGAACTTCTAACGGTACAAATAATCTTTTGAACAGATATGTAGCTTTGTAGTGGTGAAGAAAATCGTGGGTTCACCTGTGCAACATGATGAGCACAGCACTCCTCGCCCTCTTCGAAGAGTTGTACCAACCGCAGCCATATAGAGCGTCTGCTAGTCGCTGACTCTATTATAAACAGATAAAGAAACAGTAATAAACTACAAATTCTATAAAGAAGTTGTAAATACATTATTTATAGAATATTTTGTACTTGGTGTTTTCCTCGAGAAATGCATTTTACCAAAACTATTTAAATTACAAAAAGGCTGTCTAAACATAAATTGTAGGAAATTGTGTGTAGTTTAATTTTGTAGTGAATGTTTTGCTTCTAAAATGGACAGGAAAAGAGATATGGCAAAAAACTTGTTGACCGACATTTACCAAGATGGCAGCGCGAGCGGCGCACGTACGAGGGTGCAAAATGGAAATCAGAAAGGGCACATCCAAAACTAAAATATTACCAATTTTCTAAACTCCCGAACACCATTCCAGGTAACCCCCATATTTCCTACTTAATGATAGAAGTTCTGTAAAGTGAAAAAGAAATATTTCTCACAGAGTCGATGAGCTTCTGTCCGTACCAGCAGAGCAGCCAGGTCTGTGACAGTGCTGTCACTAGGAACGACTTGTACGCCACCTCGTTCCACTTCTCGATCAACTATGTAACAAAATCATTGCTGATTACGACTTAGAATTTCAAGAGAAAGAAGCTAACTACATTATGATTAAATGGATATCTATTTAGTACCTACGGTGGCCAGCAGTTCAAACTATCCTAGTCTAACTATCCTAACTAGTCAAATCAAATCAAATCAAATCATTTATTTCGGTTGCAAATATGGGTTAGAAAAATATACAATAGGTGTTTAAAAATATATAGTAAAGTTCTCCACATTTTGCCGTTATGGCATGCAAATAATGTACAAGTAAGTACATATTTTCTAATCAATTTATCTACAAGTTTAACTTACACAACCACCATTAAATATACAATAACAATAAATTGAGCATTAAAATGAATATAAAATTATTGAACGTCAAGAAAGATGAAAATAAAGGTATCATAATAAAGGTCTACATACATGTCAATAGGTCAGTAAGTCACCATTAAGAATCTAATACATCTTCAACTTTATTGTTTTGACATAAAGGCGATTATCCAATAAATAAATTTGACAGAACAGTGTAGATTGATCTGCTGCCACTGCACCTAGATATACCTAATGGTTAAGGGTCTACTCACAACACAACAAAACCCGCAGAAGCAGATGATGATGGAGCTGTTCATGAAGTTGATCAGCAACGCCAGACTGAACATATTCTCCACGTCACCCGTCAACCTGTGGAGGATTAATTTGTTTTTGTATTCTGCTCAGCACAGCGAACTGTTTCTTTACATTTAGCTGTTGTTAAATGACCACAGTCAGCGATTTTTTTTTTGTAGCTTGAAGAGAATCCATCTATCCTTCTCACTTTGGGTTCAGAAATCTTCTCTGCTATGGGATACTGTTCCTTTTCAATCGTGAGTGCTTAACACTGCCACCTCCTGATAGCTTAGTAGCCAGTACGTTAACATGCTTGGTCTGGTATTTGAGACATCTGGTAGCTATTACCTATTTCACAGTTATTATTGTTAGGTTCATATCTCGGAGAATGTATTTGTTACTTGTACAGTTTGGGATTCATTGTCATAGTTTGTACCTTTCCATGATTTTGATGTTAGTATTAAATAAAAATCAGATTCATTAATTTGATAGGCCGGCAAACGAGTATTTGGATCACCTGATGGTAAGCAATCGGCGCCGACAATGAATACTGGAAACACCAGTGAGTTACAATTGCGTAGGTACTAGAATTTAAAGAGAACCTACTTAATTACATTAGTTTGTCCATTAGGAGTTCGTATAGATTCTGAAGAATTGAGAATGTTTGATGGTGACCTACTTTTACATTTGATGCGTTATCAAGACCGTTCTAAATTATGCTTACCACGTACCTGATCAGAGAATGATGTCGTAGAACAATTTCAGTGATCTCCTTCTGATGTCTAGCCTCCCAGTATTGAGCGCCATACGAGTTCACTCGCTCTCCCTCGGTTTGAATGAACTCCTTGCTTATAGATGCTACAAATTCACCGAAGACTTATTGAAAATTAGAACTTTTATAATAATAATAATAATAATATCTTTATTTGCCAGAAACACGGTAGGTACAGTTGTTAAATCATAAAATAGGTCAACATGTTTCGCCGTCATAGCGGCATGCAAATTACTTAAAAACTAATTTTCTTAACAACTAATATGTTATACAGTTATAAACTTTACTTTTGACATATCACCCAAACACAATACACCATTTAATAACAGATGCCTATAAGACTAAATAACAAACAATAAATAAATCTTTTATCTTAGGCTACTACAGAATAGGAACATGAGGAACCTTTTAACTCGTCGAGTACCGGTTTTGTAGACACAATTATAGAACAATAGGTTGCGGTCACCGGTGACCGTTTGGTGCTTGACAGTTTAAATGGACTAGCTTATTTAGGCTTATATCTAGAAGCTAAATGTATACTAAAATTTTTGCATGGGTATTTATAAAAAAATTCGTTAATTGAATAAAAGCATTCATGTAACAACCATTTACGTAACTGATTACAGAATTTTTTTTTGTAGAACATATAAAATACAATTTTCATTGGGAAAGACCCATGTTTAGTAATTGACATCTTACTTGTGGTTGTGGTCTGAACTGGTATTCTAATGTCAAGAGGTTTAATTAATGCTTGGACAAGAATCCATCACTCAGTTTCTTATAATATCCTATTGAAACAGTATTTGTGATAGTGATAAATCATTTATTTATTATACGTACCCATGGGATAAGAGCTGACGAGTTGGTTGTCCACTTGAACGTAGAACAGTCTCTGCACCCTCCTGGCGAGCAGGTCGAACTGTGTGGTGATGTGGCAGAGGAACAGACAGAACAACATGTCCCACGCCACGTTGAACCAGATCACCACCAACGCTAGTGATTACACAACGGTAAAAGAAACGTCTACGCTAGGGGGAAAGAAACGGAGCCGCGAAAGACTTAACGGGTTACCAGGGCTCCGGCTCGAAGTTCAGAAGTAGGAACGGGCTATGCGTAATTAGGCCTCCAAGAACCTCACTCAAACGGCGAAACAAAACGCAAGCGTTGTTTCACGTCAGTTTTCTGTGAGGCCGTGGTATCACTCCGGTTAAGCCGGCCCATTCGTGCCGAAGCGTGGCTCTCCCACACTTAAATTATGTATACATAAGTGCCTAAAATAGATACATAGGGCGTGTCTATAAAACTCTAATCAGGAATTCATATCATTTTAAGTAGGTTTTAGATGATTGAAAAAAGTTCATGTAAGACGAAATTCTGTCGAATTTGGGTAATGCTTAGAACGGATTTAAATCTTCATTTATTCTTCGACTAGCTTTTACCCGCGGCTTCGCTCGCGTCACAAAAAGATAAAAAATAGCCTATGTGACTATCCATCCCTTCAACTACCTTCAGTTAAAAAATGACGTTAAGTACCTCGTTACGTTACGTTAAGTAAACAAATAGCTGTTCGCTCGCTTGAAATTCGGTTATATCGCGCTTTTTAGATTGTTCCGTGGGAATGAGAAGTTCTGCCGCGGTAAAGCCTTGCTTTTCCAGGACTCAAACTACCTTTATACCAAATATCTTCAAAATCCGTTCAGCCGTTTAGCGTGAAAGAACAAAAGAAGGAGTTATTTTCGTATTACCACAAATACCATCATCCTCCCATTTTAATTTAAAAGACTTCTATTTCCTATAAGGGTTTCATTTGCAATGTTAAACCAAAACTGAGTGGTAAACAATAACGTTTTATTATCGAAAACCTAACTACTTTAGACATCTACCTAGTACCTACTTACTTAGAAATAAAACACTTCACTAATCTGACCTAACTAACTAACATACGGCTACTGTATCAATCAACATAAACAATGAACAAGGCGAAAGCGACGTAAAACTACGATACAAGTATAACTACTTTAGATAATAGGTAATATCTACTATCTAATCTACTATCTAAGTACCTAGTTAAAATAACACTTGACTAATCAAACCTACAGAGCGAACGAACAAAAATCAATAATAATGCTAGATGTGTACAACGAAGCTCAGAACCTATACTTTCGTCGGTAAGGAAACCATAGCGCCATCTAACTCGATCCTAACGCCTATCGAGCGTTGAAACAACAGCGTACAATATATTTGCTAATTGTTGAGTATTGTTGCCACCATGATTTCGTGTACCTTTAACAACCTAAAATCTATAAAATACGCAATTTAATGTAAAATGGTTAGAACCAAAATTTAAAAGCGAAAAATACTTAAAAAACACAACGCTACCCAAATTTATGAGTCGCGGAGAAACTAACAGGTTACCGGGGCTCCAGCTCGACGTGCAGGAGAAGGAAGGGGTGGTTTTAAGTCAGTAAGAGTCTGGCACTCCCTCCCGCCTCACCCAGGCGGGAGCAGTCATTCGATGAATATCCCCCCTTAAAAAAACTCAGTTTTATGAACACTCAGCGCCATCTATCGCTAAGTAGCGTAACTACTACATAGACACCAATTTCGTGTACCTTTGTCAACCTAAAATCTATAAAATTCGCAATTTAATGTAAAATGGTTGGAACCTAAATTTAAAAGCGAGAAATACTTATAAAACACAACGCTACCCAGTTTTATTAACATTCAGCGCCATCTATCGCCAAGTAGCGTAACTACTACATAGAAACCAACCAATTTCGTGTATCTTTCATATTCATATTCATATTCATTTAATCATTTGCAAACATGGGTACATAATATAAAGGTGTTAACAAAGTTTATAGTTTCTCCATATTTTGCCTTAACTTGGCATGCAAAGATATGTTATAAAAATAATTACATAATAAAATTAGGTCCATTGAATTGAATTATTTATAATGTTGTTAGAAATACAATAATGTCAAAGAAACTATAATTATTCATACCACTGAAGTCAAAAAATTAATGTCAAATTAGATATATATTGTAAAAAAGTAAATGTCAATTATATTATAGAATGTCACACAAGCAATGTCAAATAAATTAAATTAATTATTGACCATAAGGATTCCCCTCAAGATAATCTTTTACAGTATAGTACACTTTGTCATTGAGAAATTCTTTTAATTTCAGTTTAAACAAGTTGAGGTTCCCAATTTCTGAAATACAACATGGCAGTTTGTTGTATATCTTGGATAACATGCAAAAAACACTCTTACTCATTAAGGCAGACTTACTAGGAACACTTCTAATTTTGCCTCTATATCTGGTACTAGTAAGCTTATCAAACATATGCATATTACTTTTAACAAAAACAGCAATTTCGAATATATATAGACATGGCAGAGTTAAAATTTTCAGCTTCCGAAAGTATGGCTGACAACTATCCGTTACCTTTAGTTTGCATATTGCTCGTATACACTTTTTTTGACACTTAAATGCGGCCTCACATTCGGTTGAGTTGCCCCAAAAAATTATGCCATATCTTAACGTAGATGATACGTAAGCATGATA